GCCATTCTACAATGTGTTCATATTTCAAAACATCATATTGTATAAATATACACAATATTTATAAGTTTAAAAAATAAACTTCAGGCCGGGTGTGGTGGCTCATATCTGTAATTCTAGCACTCTTGGAGGCTGAGTTGGGAGGATCACTTGAGCTCAAGAGTTCCAGACCAGCCTGAGCAAGAGTGAGACCCCTTTTCTAAAAAAAATAAAAATAAAATAATAAAATAAAATTTAAAAATTTAAAAAACAATAACAAATGGTAGCTAAAACGAAAACATTTCAACTCCAAAACATTCATACTTTGAAATAAAACTAAGAAATGATTAATCTTTATCAGTAACTTTTTTCTGTTTCCTGTTTACACAAACAATGGAAGGATATAACTGCAGTGTAAAACTACATTATGATGCACGTAGAAGAAGGAAGCTTGTTTCATGTCTGTTTGTAGGGAAATTGGACAAAACAAAGAGCTGAAATGGAAATTCCAGTCAGTGAATCAGTGAATAAAGCAGCAGTTCATTCCAGGCTAGGTCCAATTTTAGATTATGTTTTGCCAGATGGAGTAAGTACATTTTTTTCCTCCCAATTTGTGTTGGCATTAGTTTGTTAATGCTAAATTTAGCACTTGACATTTCCAAAAAGATGCCACAATTTTTCCCTTAAAGTCACCTTGTGTTCGTATGCTTTCTGGAGCTAATTATAATTTTATTGTTAATTATTATTAATAATAGGAATTGCATCCAGTGTCATGGCATATCAATAGAAGAAGGGAAAATCTAATATTATTTTTACCTCATTTTTCAAAATGTTGATTAAATAAAGTTTTTCTCTTTTTTATATGAGGACTCAATTTTCTCATTTGGGTATGTCACTGTCATTTATGTACTTAGAAAGCAATAGGAATTTAGAACATTGTTAAAAGAAATGTTTATAATTATAACTTTAGAAATGTGGCTACTTTGAAAATGAAGAAATCTGGGCTAGCTTTACTACTTTCCTAGGCAAAGGAAAGTGGTTTTGGAAAGGAATGAACAGCAAATTCACTGGAGGGGAAAAAAAGAGAATCATTTCTGTTATTAAATCAGATTTTGTATGTATCAATTTTGCTAGAAAATCCAGTCTTGTATATTATTCAACATAATTTTATTCAGTTCATTTTAGAAGACTATATATACAGCATCAGGTCTCTAGGTGAGGCCTAAAAATTTGGCTAACTTGTATTATATTTAATTCTGACATTAGGTGCTGGCTGGGTAGTCCTTTTCACTGCTAAATCTATATACCAAATCTACTGAACATTGTAAAAAATCACCCTGGATAGAATCTTGTTTACAAAGTGATTCTGATTTTCCTTTACTATAGATGCTCCTGGGGCAAAAACAAAGCCTTAAAGATAAAATGCTACCTGTAATTATGGAAATCATTAAGTCTTCTTCCCAAAAACAGAAATGAGAAAATAAAATTTAAATAATCAAAAGGTTAAGTGGTCTCTATAGCCAACTATTTGGCTTTGCCTAACTGTGTTTGGTCAAAAACATCTGGATAGCCGGGCACGGTGGCTCACGCCTGTAATCCTAGCTCTCTGGGAGGCCGAGGCGGGCGGATTGCTCGAGGTCAGGAGTTCGAAACCAGCCTGAGCAAGAGCGAGACCCCATCTCTACTATAAAATAGAAAGAAATTAATTGGCCAACTAATATATATACAAAAAATTAGCCGGGCATGGTGGCGAATGCCTGTAGTCCCAGCTACTCGGGAGGCTGAGGCAGGAGGATTGCTTGAGCCAGGAGTTTGAGGTTGCTATGAGCTAGGCTGACACCATGGCACTCACTCTAGCCTGGGCAACAAAGGGAGACTCTGTCTCAAAAAAAAAAAAAAAAAAAATATCAAGTTCATTTATGACAAACCCATGGCCAATATCATACTGAATGGGGAAAAGTTAAAATCATTCCCACTTTGAACCAGAATTAGACAAGGAGGCCCACTATGCCCTCTTCTATTCAAAATAGTGTTTGAAGTCCTAGCTATAGCAATCAGCCAAAAGAGGGGTTTTAAGGGTATCCAAGTGGGGGCAGATGAGATCAAATTCTTGCTCTTCGCTTATGAAATGATATTATATCTAGAAAACCCCATGGATTCGTCCAAGAGACTCCTAGATTGATAAATGAATTTGGTAAAGTCTCAGGTTACAAAATCAATATACACAAATCAGAGGCATTCATATATGCCAAGAACTGTCAAGCCAAAACTAAATTAAAAACACAATATCTTTTACTATAGTTCCCCCAAAATTAAATATCTGGGAATATATTTAAAGAAAGATACAAAAAAAAACGTATACAAGGAAAACTACAAAACCCTAAAAATAATAAATTGTAGATGTAAACAAATGGAAAAATCTACCTTGTTCATGGAATGGAAGAATCAATATTGTTAAAATGCCAATATTACCTAAAGTCATCTACAGAATAAATGAAATACCCATCAAAGTACCACCATCATTCTTTACAGATCTAGAAAAAATAATTCTTCACTTTGTATGGAACCAGAAAAAATAGCGTATAGCCAAAGCAATTTTAAGTAAAAAGAACAAACTGGGAGGCATCAGTCTTCCTGACTTCAAGCTGTACTATAAAGCAATAATAGTTAAATTATCCGGGACTGGCACAAAAACAGAGGCATCAATCTTCGGAATAGGACTGAGATTCCAGAGATGAAACCATCTTCCTATGGTAACCTAAACTTTGATAAAGCAGACAAAAATATACAACGGAGAAAAAAATCTCTATTCAATAAATGGTATTGGGAAAACTGGATAGCTACATGCAGAAGAATGAATCAGGATCCCTACCTCTCACCTCTCACATAAATCCACTCAAGATGGATAACAGACTTAAACTTAAGGCATTAAACCTTAAGAATCCTAGAAGAAGATGTTGGGAAAACCCTTTCAGACATTGGCCTAGGCAAAGAATTCTTGAAGAAGACCCCCAAAGCAATCACCACAGGAACAAAAATAAACAAATGGGATCTGATCAAATTAATAAGCTTCTGCACAGCCAAGTAAACTATCTTTAGAGCAAATAGACAACCTACACAATGGGAGAAAATATTTACTCTCTACACTTCTGAGAAAGTTCTGATAACAAGAATCTATCTAGAACCCAAAAGAATTAACAAGAAAAAAAATCAAACAACCTGATCAAGAAATGGCAATGGAAATGAACAGAAACTTTTCTAAAGAAGACAGAATAATGACCAGTAAACATATTAAAAATGCTCAACATCTTTAATCATTAGAGAAATGCAAATCAAAACCACAATGAGATACCACCTAACACTAGTGAGATTGGCCTGTGTCAAAAAATCCCCAAACAACAAATGCTGGTGAGGATGTGGAAAGACACAAACACTCTTACACTGCTGGTGGGACTGCAAATTAGAGCAACCTTTGTGGAAAAGAATTTAGAAATACCTCAAAGAGCTAAAAATAGAAATACCATTTGATCCAGCAATAGCATTATTAGGCATCTACACAAAAGAACATAAGACATTCTATTATAAAGACATCTGCACCCTAATGTTTATGACAGCACAATTCACTATTGCAAGGACATAGAAACAATGCAAATGCCTATCAATTCATGAGTGGATTATTAAAATTTGGTATATGTTTACAATGGAATATTACTCAATTCTAAGAAGTGGTGAGCTAACACCACTTATATTTTTCTGGATTAAGCTTAAGCCCATTATCCAAAGTGAGGTGACAGAAGATCAGAAAAATGGGCTCCACATGTACCCGACTTCAAATTGGTACTGACTGATTAACACTATGGTGCTCAAATAGTGGTGGTGTTCACCAGGGATTCAGGATTTTTGGGGGGAGACCCACATCTAAGGGATGTGGAGAGCATTGTGAAGGGGAAGGGCATAACTCTAACCCTTCCTAGGGAGAGGGAAAGATATAAAATGCAACCAAAATGTTCGTACTTTCATATTTTTTTAAATAAAATTTTTTAAAAAATGAAGAACTTCAATGAGATTTCAGATGAAAGGTGGAACCGTATTTTTTTTTCTTAATTTTTTATAGCTTTATTTTGGACAGTTTAAGAACCAATGACATACCTCTGTAATGATAACGGAAAGAAAACAAGGTTTCCTTTTAAGAAACTGAGGAACACAAAATAAGACTAATTTCATTGTACATAATCACCACGAGATTAGGCACTCTGACAGGGTTACACAAGATTCTTGGTGTGAGGTGAGGCACAGGCACTTTCATTTGTAGAGTGCTGCTGATTCTAATTTTGAAGGTAGGTATTACAAAAGTCTTTAACTTACTTGTCACTTTATTTCTGGCCCCAACACAGCAGCCTATGTTTCTCCCTGGTCTTTGTATACACATTGAAAGTAACTTAAAAGCATTCCAAGGGGGCCATACTTCATATCTAAATGTTGAAATGAGAACTCAAAAGTAGGCAGAATATATGAATATATCTTCATACCTCTGCTAAAAATAAGCAAAAAAACCCAAAACAAACAAAAAAAACCATAAAAACAACACCAAAAACCCTTCATATAGATACTTTTATAAAAATACAGATATTAAACTGTAGTCTTTTGTATACCACTTCTGAAAAGTATTTAAATTAGTTGCATAAATAAATGCCACTATCTTATTCTTTAATTATTACTTGTAATCAGCCTTTCAAGTATTTAGACAGTTCTGGAAGGCCTTACCCAGTTGACATACAGTGGTAGTAGAAATATTAAATATGTAACACACAAAGCCTAAAACTTGACATTGGTCACCAAAACAAAAATTAATTCCTAAATCCAAGCAATCAAAGGATGTTTATTTTTTATAGAAAGATCTGTAAAAAAAAAATTTTTCAAACAGCTTTACTTTCATAGAGAAAACTTTCTACAGAGGTTGACTAAGATTTTAATATTTTAAATTGTACCATCATTAAATAAGGTGGGACACCATATGAATTTCATTGCACTGGAAGAAATGCAAAGCATTTTTTATTATAAAGTATACAGAGCATTCTAGTCAACTACAGCTGTGTTACAGCTATGTGTTCTTTTGGATTTGGTCCAAAGAAACCTGAGTCTGTTTCCAGAGATAATGAAAAATGTTATAGACACCTGATCAGTTAACTCCTCACTGAAGGATGCACCAAAATGGCATTCCTTGTAGATCCTACTGAATCCAGTTTCCCAACACTGATACTTTGTTTTTTCCCTTACCCCATACCCCAGTTCACTTTGGGTTCCAGGTTCAGTTCTTGAATCATACACATCCAGATTTTCTTCATAAACATACACATCCCATGGTCAGATGAACTATCCAGTTTTCCAGTATGACATCACCTCTTCTGTTCCCAGATCTCAGCCATATTTAGGTCCAAATCTTTAAGGCCTTTTAAGGCTTGAAGATTTCCAGTGTAAAAAGCTACATCTGCTGTGACCAACCCATTTTGAGGTCCTCCATCATTTATCACATTTAAGTGAGATAACTGCTTTTTCAAGTGGAGTTTGTAACTTGCATTAATTCTTAAAAATAACATCTGTGTTTGTTCTTCTGGAAGAAGATCAAATATAGCTTCATGCATTTTTGCCATTTGCTTACAAATATTCCTGAAACAGGCAGAATGAACGGGAGCTTTCACCTCATACTTAGATAACAGCTTGTCAAATAAGCTATCCATTATCGCTACAAGCTTAGCTGATATTTCAGCTATGTGGTCATGGTAGTCCTTAGTGATATGATCAAAATGCCTAAGCATGCTATATTGCTTAGGTGGTAGTCGAGCTTCAAAATGAGCCCGGATCACAGGAATGTAGTGCACAATTAACTGCAAACATCGTGAAGACAGAGCCAAATTTTTTGTAGTTATTGTTTTTAGTCCAACAACTTGCAGTGCACCAGCTCCAAGAACTAATTGGCAACTTCTTGAATTGAAGTACTTCAATAAATCTGACAGACGAGTAAGCATGTCAGTAGTAACGGATGGGATATTATCCACACACTGGCAATATTCAAGGATAATTCTTATTAATAGCAATAGAGTTCCAACAACAGCATACTGTTGTCCCTCAACAATGAGAACCTCAGCTGGTTTCCTTTCTTCTGTAGCTCCTAATTTTTTTTCAGGTAAAGCAATCTTTCCATCTGATATAGAATCAACAAGATCCTGAAATTCTGCAGGAACATCAGCTTGCTTCCAGCGCTCATTGTCTAAGAGGAGACTGAGTTTGGTTTTTCTCTCTTCGTGAAACCTATTTACAAATTTATTAGCTTGGCTCTGAAGTGCTCCAAGTAATGACATACTTTTTCTTCCACAGATCTGTTCAGTGTCTAAAATGAATGTTTCCATTAATCTAGACAGTGTTATGAATTACATGGAATTTAGCTTCTCAAGAAAACCATCCTTTGCTCTTGACATGAGAAATTTGACGGCTCGATCATGACATATATCTGAGGCACTGTACAGTAACTCCTGGATATTATTTGCCAGCTTTCCTAGCTCTAAGTCAGTTAATTTCATGTCTTCACTGACCATAATATCCACTCCTCCTGGAGTAGCAGATGATGATGTCTGCTCTTTACTGGATGAAGAATCAGTAGTGCATTCTGGCTCTGATACCGAATCACTGCTGCAGGGCTCACTATTTGGAGATGCATTTCTTTGAGAGGCAGTGTCGACTGTCATAGCTGTCAATTCACCCTCACTGAATGCATCACTTATAAACATGCCTTCATGGATTAAATAAGCCACCTCTGTGTCCAATGAATTATCTTTTGCAGCATTCTTCTGTTGTGAAATCTCCTCCAATTCTCTAGTCCTTTGGTTTTTGTCAAGAACTGAGAGAACAACACTGTGAATAATATTTAACGTTGCCTTAACTCTCTGTAGGAAAATTGTAAACTTAGAGAAAATATCCTTTAGCAGATCAAACCACTGAGGAAAATTCAACATTCTCATCTGATCTGCAAGCTTCACAACATCTGTGTCTATTTCTTCTATTTGTGAAACTTTATTAATCACACACTGTTTAATGATATTTTTTTGCTGTAATAATCATTTCTTCACTATAGATTTCTAAAAAATTAAGTTTTCTTTGTTTTAAAAGTCCAAATACAAGAGATACTAGTCTTTCCTCTTCTAAAACTTGACAGTCATCTTCCAGTGGTCTATTTAAGTCACTGTGAGAATAAGTAGAAAACTCTGCAATCATCATTTTATCAATCAGTTTTTCTAATTCACAAAGCTGTGATCCCAAATACCGGAAACTGTGAATGCCCTGAAGTTCCTGCTGTAGAACCTCTTGTGTTGTTGCTATTAAGTCCAGTGCTCCAACAAATTCATAAGTAGATAATAAAACCTGTACTGTAGGCTGAGTCTGGTGTACAGTGGCCATTAACTTCAGTTTATTGTACACTTTAACACAATTATTTCTGGTGAGTGCCAGTCTTAAAATGTGTAGTGATCCTTCACACATTACTTTATCAATCTGTGCGATTTTATCTCGAAGCATTTTTACAGCCTGGGAAGTTTTCTTGAGGTAGTCCTGCTCTCAAGTCCTCTCATGTTGAGAGGTCATTGCATGAAAAAATGCTTCTGAACGTAGAGAGATCTGGTGAGCAATGTTTACTTCCACAATATCCAGATAATGGCTCAGCTTTTCTTGAAGCAACTTTGAGGAAGCTGCATCACGATTTCCTTTTCCACCAGCAGTATTAAAATGAGACCATGGTAAAACTGAATTAAAAGTTAAGGAATTGTCCAAGGCAAAATCTGGTTTCATAAAAATCTTAGGTACTTGCTCCAGATCTGTCCTGGATTTATCATGAGTATGTACAAGAGTCCTGTCAAAGGTATCTTTAGGAGGACAAATATTCTTGCATCTCTCATGAATCTTCTCTCTCTGAGAGATTTCCTATTGATATATTGTAAAATATTCCTTGCTGATTTGTGGGAGGTAGAATGAAGGTATGACTTCAGTGTCCACAAAGTCCAGTCCCCATGTTTTTGTGAAGAAGTCAGATTCTCTTTTTGCTAATCTAGGATAATTTAATGCTGCTGGGAGATTTACTTTGGAATGATATATAGTCCATCTATGTTGATCTGTAACTGTGGGTTCCTTGGGACACACATCTGGCAGTGACTGCACAGGTCGAATGTGTTTTGTTGGATCTACCTCTTTTTTAAAGAAAACATCACTGCTGCTTCCTTGAGGCACTGGTGAAGAACTGTGGCTTGAAGCCATTGCATAAAATCACCACTCAACTGCGGGTCCCGGGCAGACGCCCAGAGCGAGGCCTAGTGCATCTCCGCCGCCTGCAGCCCTCCACGTCGCACCCAGGCTGCTCCTCCGCAGCCGCCACCTCCTGGCGCCAGGAGCCCGGCCGGGCCGCGCCGGGTGGCCTGTTGGCCCGGGGAGCACAGGGCCGCCTTCTCTAGCCCAGGCGGCAGCGGCGGCTCCCTCACGTCTCTCCCAGGTGTCCTGTCAGCCAGCAGTTTCCCCCGGGTCCGCAGCGCGGCCTCCGTCGCTGCTGCCACCGCCTATCCCACATCCCCGGCCTCCAGGGGAGCCGCTGCCACCGCGCCATGACCACTGCCTCTAGCGTTTCTGCTCCCTGCTCCACTGCTCTGCCTAACCCCGCCGGCCTGCCTGGCCTGGCGTGGCCCGGTCGGCTCCCGGAACAGTATTTTTTATGACTTAAAAACCTGAAGAAAGAGAGGAAAATGGCGGAGTAGGGGTGCCCTCATGGCTCTCTGCTCATAGAGCAAAAAGTGAAGAAAGCAGATAGCCACACTTGAGTGATCTGCACTTCCACGGGACCAGCTTCGCAAGCCTGCAGACATCCACCAGGAAACGGAGGGATAAGACCATTTGCAGCCTAAAGCAAAGGCGAACCGATTATTCTTCTCCAAATATCTGGGATTCAGAGGCACACATCAGGTAGGGAGCGAGGCGCGGTTTAAGCTGCTGCCAGCTGGCAGTGGCGCCAGCCCTACCCGGTGCTGAGAAACACCCCCTCCTACACCGAGCTCCACTTCCACGTAGGCCGGAAGGTGCCTGAAGTTGGTGAAAAGTGGCAGCGTGGGACTAAGCCGTGTGGAGAGGGGACTAGAGCAGGGAACACTCTGAGTTCCCCAGAGCACACAGCAGCAGCAATATAAGGAGGGGGAGGGTCCAAGCCCAGCAACCACACTCCGCACAGCAGGAACCAGAGCCCACTCGGGCATCTGCCTGCAGAAAACTCCAAGGTCAAGGTTAAGGGGAGTTTACACAGAAGTTGGCTTTGACTTTGGATATAGAGGAGGTTTGGGATAGCACTGAGAGGTCAGAGTGCGCAAAGTTAGACTCCTTGATCCATTAGGACCCCCCTCCGTCTGCCCCTCCGGAACCACTCCCGCCCCCGCATTCCGGCGATGACTTGGCATTCCAGAGCTGACTTGGGCTCGGGGTTTGGAGGGGAGGCACAGAGAGAGCGCTGGTACACGCCCCTGCTCCACCAATTTGATATTGGACCCTCACTTGCTGCACAAGTGGCACTGACTCTGTGCTCAGAGAGTGGACCCTGACTGGACTGGGCAGTACTACAGGGGAGACTGCCCTTAGCGGATTTAAGGCAGAGAAACATTGCCTTCCACACGCTCCTGTGACCCAGAGCCCCGCCCTGGGCTCCAAAGTCTCTGTCCCAGCCTTGGGGGCAGAGCTGAAATAGGAACTGTTCTCATTCCTGCCGTTTATCTCCACCTGTGTAATTAAGGAGACAGAAGACAGGGATTGGTGGATCCCATTGCTTGCCTGCCCACTTTTGGTCAGTCTCTCCCTGCACAGGTCTCCCACACGCTGTGCCCAGAGTGCGGAGCCCACCTGGGCAGAGCCAAGCCTCGTAGTAGGCTGACTTTAGTGGTTATAAGGCAGAGATATTTTATGACCCCCACATCCGGGGATTTGGGACTACCTTTGGCTCCAAAGTTTGTATCCCCGCCTTGGGGGCGGAGCCGAGATAGAAACTGCTCCCATTCCTGCCGCTTATCTCCACCTGTGAAATTAAAGAGACAGAAGACAGAGCCTGGAGGGTCTGGCTCCTGGCCTGCCAGCCTGCCGGCTTCAGGACAGTCTCTCACTGCACAGTTCTCCCACGCTTTGTAACCAGAGTGCAGCGCCCACCTGGGCAGGACCTAGCCTTGTGAGAGGCTGCCCTTAGTGGCTATAAGGCAAAGAGACTTTACGTTCACCATGCTCCCGTGTCTTGTGGCTGAGCCTTTGGATCCAAAGTCTCTGTCCCCACCTTGGGGGCCGAGGTGAGATAGGAACTGTTCCTATTCCTACCGCTTATCTCCACCTGTGTAATTAAAGAGACAGAAGACGGGGATTCGTGGGTCTGGCTACCGACCTGCCAGATTCAGGCCGGTCTCTCCCTGCACAGGTCTCCTGCACTCGGTGTTCAGGCCCTGGACTTTGCCTGGGCAGGGCGGAGCCTAGTAGGAGGCTGCCTTTGGTGAATACAAGACAGAGAGACTTTACGACCCACACACTCTGGTGACTTGGGGCTGGGCCTTCAGCTCCAAAGTTTCTAGACCCGCCTTGGGAGTGGAGCTGAGATAGGAACTGCTCCCGTTCCTGCCATCTATCTCCACCTGTGTAATTAAGGAGGCAGAAGAATGGAGGCCGCCGGAGCAGCCCAGAGAACAGCGGGAAGGGTAGGTGAATAGGCCGTTTCCCCTCCATTGAATCTCAGACTGTTGATGGGCTCCCCAGCGGATAGAGAGACCTGCAGACACCAGCCCAGTGAAGGTCGCCACCAGTGAGCAACACCACATACCGGCTCAGAAACTAAACAAGATGTGTGAATATCCAAACAAAAACCTAAAGGAAAGAAACAACAACTGAGCAACATGGGAAGAAATAAGCGAAGGAACTCTGGAAATATGAAGAAAACGGAAAACACATCCCCAAGAGGAGCTCCAGCCCCTTAGAAACAGACAACAACCAAAACATGGAAACCAAAATGACAGAAGAGGAATTTCGAATGTGGATCATAAGAACACTCACTGACCTGCAAGACAACTAAATAACCAATCCAAAGAAACCACAAAAAGCCTCTAGGATATGGAACAAAGGTTCACTAAAGAGATCGACACAGTGAAGAAAATTTTAACCGAATTGCTGGACGTGAAGAATCAACTCAGGGAATTAGAAAATACTATGCAAAGTCTCAAGAACAGGGTACATCAAAAAGAAGAAAGAGTCAAAGAGATTGAAGATAACACCTTCAAATTAAATAAATCAGTCACAGAGATAGAGAAGATAAACAAGAGAAAAGAGCAAAGCCTACAAGAGATTTGGAATTATGTGAAGAAACCTAATGTGAGGGTCATAGAGTCATCAGAATGGGGAGAAGACATCACTCAAGGGTTGGACATTCTATTTGAAGATATAATAGAGAAAAATTTCCCAGGCAATGTTCAAAATCTCAATATAAAAGTTCAAGAAGCTCAGACGACGCCTGGGAGATTCAATGCAAACAGGAAGATGTCGCGTCATGCAGTCATCAGACTGACCAAAATATCAAATAAAGAGGCCGTTCTAAAAGCTGTAAGATGAAAGAAGCAAGTAATATACAAGGGAAAGCCAATTCGAATAACACCAGACTTCTCTAATGAGACTTTACAAGCAAGGAGAGACTGGGGCTCCATTCTCACTCTTCTGAAACAAAAAATGTCCAGCCTAGAATCTTATTCCCTGCAAAACTAAGGAGAAATAAAGACATTCCCAGACAAGCAAAGCGTCATAGAATTCACCAAGACAAGACCAGCCCTATAAGACATACTCAAAACAGTGTTACACATGGAACACCATAATGGAAACTCACGAATATAAAAATAACCAAAACCCAAAGATTAACGGCCGGATATTACTATGGCTCAAGAGAGAAATCAAAGGAACAACATCCAACCTAACAGAATGAACAGTCATCTACCTTACCTATAAGTTCTCTCAATAAACGTGAATGGCTTAAACTCTCCAATCAAGAGACATAGGCTGGCTGAATGGATAAGAAAATACAGGCCAAGTATAGGCTGTCTTCAGGAAACACATCTAACCTGCAAGGACGCGTAAAGACTAAAAGTAAAAGGGTGGAGATCAGTACTCCAAGCAAGTGGAAGCCAAAAGAAGGCTGGTGTGGCAGTTCTAATTTCAGACGATTTAGTATTTTTTTTTAAATTTTTTAATTTTTTTGTTTTATTTTGGCATATTGTGGGGGTACAGATTTTAAGGTTTCAATAAATGCCCATTTCCCCCCCTTCCCCCAAAAGTCTGAGTCTCCATCATGACCATCCCCCAGATGGTGCACATCTCACTCATTATGTATGTATATACCCGCCCCCCTCCCCCCTCCCACCTGCAGAGGATCAAACTAGTTCAACCTCTGTGGAAAGCAATATGGAGATACCTTAAAGCGATACAAGTGAATCTACCATTTGATCCAGCAATCCCATTCTGAGCATCTACCCAAAATGATCCATGGCACTCTACAAAAAAACACCTGCACTCGAATGTTTATAGCAGCACAATTATAATGGCAAGGCTGTGGAAACAGCCCAAGTGCCATCAATCCAAGAATGTATTAAAAAATGTGGTATATGTATACCATGGTGTACTATTCAGCTCTAAGAAACAATGGTGATATAGCACATCTTATATTTTCCTGGTTAGAGCTGGAACCCATACTATAAGTGAAGTATCCCAAGAATGGAAAAACAAGCACCAGATATATCTCCAGCAAACTGGTATTAACTGAGTAGCACCTAAGTGGACACATAGGTACTACAGTAATAGGTATTGGGGAGGGGTTGAGGAAAGGGGGGCGGAATA